AGGTCGGGTTCTAAAATGGATCTATTCTGTTACCTGCAAGGCTATTTCAGACGTCTGTGTGTATAACACAAATTCAGCATGCTCAGTAAGAATGATAGTCTTGGTCTGGTGTGCAATAATATATCTGCATTTTAAAATGAACTTGAAAAAAATCTGAGCTCATTGTTAGTACTGCATGCAAAATAATTTCTGTTATATGCTATGCAATGTAGGTACGGTCATGGCAATACAATGATATTTGCTGCTGTATGCCTACATAGTTTTCAAAACTAAAATTCAATGCTTAGCTAAATTGCTAAGCAGACTGGTAAATATCCAATTTTAGCAGCCTAGCATATGTTTATAATTTTTGTTTTAACATATGCTATGTTGGTTGAACTCCCCTCCCCGCACATACGGTAGATAAAAGCTGTCACATCACAAAATGGTGGCAGCCCAACTTTTCGAACATTTTCCATGGCACTTCAGAGTCTTGCATTAATTAGCTATTCTTGGATAGGAGACAGACTCTCATCTTTGTAGAATTTTGGTTTCAAACCCATCATGTACTTCAGTTTATGTATGCAGTAGCCCATCTGTGTTTCTGCAGCCATAAACAATGAAAAGCTCAGGGCATACAGAAAAATGGTCAGCAAGAGTGAGGATGCCCTTTGTTCACAGATATGAATACCGAGCAAATGGCCCTGAAAGCCCTTTTCATTCACCAGTGGGCTCCAGTTTGCTTGAGAAGAGCATTCTCTCTCTCTCTCTTCCACTTTTCTAGGAGAGGTGGGTGAATAAAACAACACTGGTGCACAGTCCTTTTTCTTTTCATTGTAAGCTGCTAAACTACCCCTCTTTTCCCCGTCTTTTTCAGGGCAGGTGTAAGGAGGAATTTCACTGAGTCTGCAATTCTTTTCTAAACCTCAGTGGAGTAGAGGGGAATTGTGACAAATACCACTGCAGCTGTGATAATGCTGTCTTAATCCTTCCTTTGCTGTGACATGGAAACCTGGATTTAGACATGAAAGGGCATGCCTTAACAGTACAGCAATATGATCCCTTATCACATCAAACTGCCTTTTGCATGTGCTCCAAAGTCACAATATTTTTTGGCATTCTGTCTGCTGTTTCCCTGTTGTTAAGCTCCTGACAGTGGTGTGCTTCTGCACGTGTAGTGCCTACTGTGCTGCTGCATGGGGGTGGTTGTTTTTCTGTGGGAGATGAGGGAGCCTTGCCCAGCAACTGAAACTACTGTAGAAACAGCACAGGGTATGCGGTAGAGGACTGATGTTGGCAAGTGCGGTCACGTTGTGCCAGGCCTGTCCATAGCCCAGACAGGACTGTTTGCATGTCTTCATTCCTGGCTGTCATGTGTGCCACCTCCTGCCCTCTGGTCTACCCTGAAGCTGCTCAAAACGCTCATACCCATGTGCAGGCATGGTTCCAAATGTATCACCAAAACATAATGACAATAGCATCCCTATCAAAGATCCCAGTTCCTGCTGTTGTATTAGACATCTTAGTATGGAGATACAGGAACAGGCCCGTGGAGCTGTAGAGGTACCTGGGAATGTGACAGTGGCAGTGGCGATGTTGAGCTAAGAACCTGTGTGTAGGAGATGGTGGGCCTGGTGCTTGCATGTCCTCCTGCAGTGCATTGAGAAGTCCCACTGGGAGCTGCTGGTGGGGCATCTTGCTTCCAAAACCCTGCATCAGCTCCCAGCTGCAAGTCAGAGCCACTGTCAAGCCCAGAGCCTGTGACACACTGGTAATGCTGGTGAAATGCTTTACCATCTTTGGATCGTAGATGCCAGTGGTGGTTATTCAATGTTTATTTCCTATTTATGTATTTGTTTTCAGCTACAGGACCTACAGCTGCTGTATGGCTTGCTGTGGTTCTTAGCTGGCTGACAGTCTTTGCTGTAAGATTGAGGTTTTATAAGTGTGCACAGAAGCCAGTTGTTTGTTTTTGTTTTGTTTTGGGTTTTTTTTTTTTTTTTAACTGCCAAATAATACGCATGGTGGAAATTAAGCTGGAAAATTATAAATTTAAACTGTGCATTGTCAGATAATTGTCTACTAGAAATAACTGTCTATTAGAAATGAACGTAAGTAATTAGTTTATCCTTAACACCACTTATTTATTGCTAGCAGAAAGGTAAAGAGATTTCTTTATTTTTCCAGTGTTTCTCTCCACCCTAGTAAATATGCCTTTGATTTGAAGGTTCCTTGTACAGTGTAAGAAGTATAAACATGGCTTTTTCCTTCCTTCGCAATGGCTTCTGTCCCCAAATGTAATTTATCACCAGTTGAGTTGAGCTAAATCCAATACCATTTTTCTGCAGTGATCCTGGAAGTAGCATACATGGGTCTGTGGTGGGAGAGGGGAGCAGAAGAGTATTGGTGAAAAACTTCAGTGTTTTTGGCACTCTTGTGTGATACCATGCTGATGCCTCCTCTACTGCTTGTTTGCCGGTGTTTGTAGTACTTGACCATTGGATAACATAGGATAACTGTAACTTTTCTTACTGCTCACAGTACATTTTGCTTTAGATTGGAATAATAGTGCATATAGTAATTCAATTTAACTATTTAAGGCACAAGCATAATGTTAGGATGAAAACTATGAAAACTGATGCAAGTTCATCTGTACGTTTCTTCCTGTCAGAGTTTGTGAAGAGTATATATATCACTTGCTCAGAAAAGTTAGTGTTTCTGAGCTATCAGAAACTGTTAGCAGTGTTGCTCATTACAAATACTGAAGAATTATCCCCCCCAGCACTTATGGTTCATGTTCTGATTTATTTTTCCACAAAGTTATAATCATGAGAAGTACTGCTTATGTGAAAGATAAACTTTTCATATGGTTGTCTGATTCTCAAAGGAATGGTATTTAGGAAAGCAGCAAACATCATAAGACTCACGATAGTCACGAGAGTTTTTCATACATTACAGCTAGGTATAAGTTTTGAATTTAATTTTTTAGAAAACTAAATGTATAGGCAGATGGTGATATTTACTTAAGGGAAGCTGCATTCATTATCTGACTAGAACTGGGTATTTCAAGCAGCTGTTTGAATATGAGAACTCCCTTTCCCTGAAGGAGAACGTATGTTTGGGGGAAATGGAGACTCTTCTCAAAATGTAAGGCTATTCCCTCATTTAGTGTCTGTCATAGGGGTTACTGGTGTGTGTGTGTGTGAATTCTTTTCTGGAAGAACCTTATCAGTAATGACCAAGAACTAATTTGGTGAAATAATTCACAAACTCAAAAAAAAAAAGGCAATCTTTTCTGAAAGTTTCAAAACTAAATGAAAGTTATAGCTGCTCTCTTTTCTTAAGATATTCAACCAGGAAAAGGTTTAAACCAAATAATTAGTCATTTTACGCTGCCCTGCCAAATTTAATTTCTGACTACACCACTTGCTTTTATTTTGATTTATTGAGATATTCAGGAAATAGACCTATGGAGAACATCCAGGCAGGCATAGTCCAGAAGAAAGGAAGCCAGACATGAATATACCCATTTTCTTTTACAGATCTGTTTTAGGGGGGACTTAAGAGTATGAAAAATAATCTTAGTTTGTTTGTTCTTTTTTTACACTCATTTCTCTTATGTTCCTGTGGAAAGCTAGCCAGATGCTGTATTCCTAGCGTAAAGCTGGAAAGCTATCCCTTGACTGTGGACTGTTCATTGCTTACATACTTTCTTCCCCCATTTCTTTAAGATGACTTTTACAGGAAAGTCTTTTACTCAGGTAACCTGTGGCCCTGGATTTCTTGGTTCATGGAGAAATACAAACCAGTTTATTGTTTGCAGCAGATGCCTTTCCCCAGTCACTTAACTTCTAATGCCTCTGTTTTCCCATTCCATAATAAGCAAATTATGATGCTTAATCTTTATGCTAATATTTTTAAGCCAAACTATAGATTTTCAAGTGACTTTGCATCTCAGAATGGGCTTATGCATTTGGAGTGACTGAGAAACTGATCATCCTCAAAACTGTTTGGTTTTGGAATTATCTCTTTGAGCACCACAGAGTAATACTGCTGTGTGTATGTGAAGCACAAAGCCTGTTTGTAAACAGGGCAGATGTGTGAAGATGGCCCTTTGACAGAAAACAAGTTGTTCAGTTGAGACATCTTTCAGAATCTTAACACTTCATTCACCTTCCTGATATTTGACAAGCCTCCCTGCCTGATGCAGCGATGTTAGCCATGAAAACAGCTATTCTGGGAACATATCAGAGGGGGCTTCATGCTCATCCCAAAATGCTAACATTGGTTCTGACTGTGTGGAGCTTTTATTGTGAATCTTGTGTGATACTCATATATGAACTTATTATACTGTTTATATATAAATATATGCCTTGTGCTTTGGTTTTTTTTTTTTTCTTTCACAGTGGTTCAGTGGTTTGAAAAGTTAAACTGGTTTTGTTTGGTGTTAAGTACGAATTAGTGATGATTGCATAGTGTGTGCCGCATGCATCTGGTTGATGTGGAATGCCTTCTGTAGCTTCTGCTACTGGGGAGGGAGATGATAAAAAGTTAATGCTTGGGATTTTATTATAAACAAGCCCCTTACTGCTGAGGGGTGGTGTTAAATTTCTGAGTTTCTCAGAAGTAGTATTCAGTTATTGCCTTGTGTTTTAACTGAATAAAAAATACTGTTCCAAAGAAGGCCTGATGTTTATTCAGCTGTAAGAGCAGCAATATCTGGAATGGGGTTAAAGCTAGGTCTGGAGTCATTATTACTGATGCAGTGATGCAGAGGACTGATAATTGAATAAGATATCCTAGCTGAAATTTGATCACAAGGGCATTTTTCCTCCTCTGAAGTCAAAATAGTGGTTTGTAATGGGAACTTTGTCATATTAATCAAGCAGATATTTGGATTTCATTTATCCCTGAGATACTAGCAATTTCTGCAGCAAGATTGCAGTCTCTAACTCAATTTTAAATTTTTAATATTATTATTTTTTTTTTAGATTTCTTTCTCTAGATCGTAAGAGTTTGCAATGGCAATGCTCTGGAAGTTCATGAGGGTAGCAAAGTATTCTAAAACAGCTTTATCACCAAAAGTGAAGGTAAGAGGAATTCCCACCCATTTGAGGCATTCTTCCTCCAAGTCTATACCTTCAGATTTTGCTGCCGGCACACCCTGCTCAAATACTGTGGAACTGCTTGGTAAAGCTTATGCTCAAGATGACTACAGCAATGTCACAAAGAAGATTCTTTCCAAGGTGGGGAAGAACTTGCACAACAAAAAGCATCACCCTTTGTGGCTAATTAAGGAGCAGATAAAGGACCATTTCTACAAACAATATGTAGGACGCCATGGGAATCCGCTTTTTTCTGTCTATGATGGTCTTTCTCCCGTGGTTACAGTACAGCAGAATTTTGATAGTTTGCTTATCCCACAAAACCACGCCAGCAGAAGTAAAGAGGATAACTACTACTTGAATTGTGGTCACATGCTAAGAGCACATACATCAGCTCATCAGTGGGACTTGATACACTCTGGCCTAGATGCCTTTTTGGCAGTGGGAGATGTCTACCGCCGTGACACAATTGATAACACCCACTACCCAGTCTTTCATCAGATGGAAGGAGTTCGGCTCTTCTCCTGTCATGAGGTAGGAATTTTCTAGTTGGGGTGAAAGTTTTTTGGGTAAGTTGCATGGTCTTGTATTTACTGTAAGCAAAATGCATGCACATAAATGTGTTACAGCAGCGTGTGTTATGCTGTACATTGATACAGATCAAGTGATCAATCATATAGTAATACTTGTAATTTGGGGAAAATACAAGTTGAAGATGTTGAATTTGAAAACAACTATAAACTTCCCCAGAAAAATGTGAAAAAGTGGAAAAAGAATATAACGAAAGCTAGCAAAATAAAACATTATCTAAAGGAAACAGTTTGTTCAGCTAATGATCTGCATGATTCAATTCTAGTTCTATCACAGGCCTCTTCCAGTGGGGTCACTTGACCAAAAACTGTCATATTAATACCTGAAGGACTCAGGGATGTGAGTTGTTGCAGCTAGATCCAGAACACAGTTTGTATTCTGTCATTTTTTTGCATTTAATAGCTCCAGCCTTGTAAACTAATGTCTTTTTAAATGAATTGTTCCATTTTTCATCCCATTCTAAAGCTGCATTGAAGGATTCATGTGTTGCAGATGATAGTTATGGGTATGCAATACATACATAGTAGAGGCACCAAGGAAAGAGCTGCAGCTAGATGTCCAAGACTGCATTTATATATTTTGTTGGCACAGCTTCTATGTTCTGCAAATGCTTGGGTGTCATTAAGTATTCTGCTGTATCGTTGATCAGCAGTAACTATAAGCCAGTTTGTTTTCCAAATAATAATTGATTTGTGTTATTTGTGTATGCCTGTAGCAATACTGCCAGATTCACATTTCTGTAACTAAAACAAGCTTATTCTAATAATATTGAGATGCAGACCATTCTTAATGTGGTTGTAATGGGTGATTGGCAGGAGCTTGGCAGGGAAGCCTGATTGGTTTTGGATGCCTGAGGGAAAACTAGGGTAATCACAGAGCACTGCTCTTC